CCCCCCCCCCCCGCCCACGGGGTAACCCCTCGCGTGGCGGTGTAGGTGTGTTTGCGATCGTATCAGTGTACACACAATCCGAGTTTACCCCGTATTCTGTGTGTTAACTACACTGATGTTGGTGTTTGTCGTTTAACACTCACTATAGAGGGTAGGGTTAGTCCCGGGCTTTGTCCCGCTCTGAACCCTAGTAGAATCTGCCGCCCATGACATCAGTGTTCACCGCAAAAACCTACGGGCAAAACTCGCCGCCAGTTTTAATTAACTATTAATTTATTAACTAATGTTAACTATTATTGACAGTATTCGCCGCGGGTATGAGGTGTACAAACAGGTGTGCGCCGCCTGTCACGGCATGAAATACGTGTCCTATCGGGAACTGGTGGGTGTGTCGCATACGGAGGCCGAGGCCAAGCAAGCGGCCTCAGAGGTGTGTATAGCACCCGGTGCTGGTGATTGTGGTGGTAATGATGAGCAGCACTACCCCCTCCACCACCCCTAACATGTATTGATATAGTAATGTATGTATGTTTTTAACACAGATCCAAGTGCTGGACGGCCCGGACGACACCGGGAAGATGTTTCTACGACCGGGCAAACTGTTCGACCGCTTCCCGTCTCCCTATCCCAACGAAGAGGCCGCCCGCGCGGCCAACAACAGCGCCCTACCGCCCGATCTCAGCGTTATTGTGCTCGCACGACATGGCGGCGAGGTATGTCACTTACACTCCTGTCCCACTTCGACTGACCCCTTTTTACACCGCCTAAACACTCATACATATAGTGTATGTGTGTTTCACTCCCGGTCTAACATACGTGTCCTACTTGTAGGCCCGCGCGCTGTTTCAAACCCCCTACGGGTGTACTACTAGTATACCCTCGACTCCCTTGAAATCCCCCCTTATTTTTACTATTACTTAATTGTTTGCCATATTATTAATTAAATGTTGTTTCTAAACGCCCGATGCCGACGACGACGATCACCGACTACTCCCGATATACGAACCACTCTCTAATAGGACTACATATTCTCGCTGTTGACCGGCTATATGGAGGCGCCGGCGGGTGTGGTGTTGGCCGACGGCATGCACTTTAACCCGTACTTTGTGAGCGGTTCGGGCTCTATAGGTATG